CCAGCCTTACTTATAGATAAATGGCATTTCCTCGAGTGCCTGTTTGCCACCTGCACAGTCTTCTGTCGAAATCCCAGGTAGGTCAGTCTTTGAGTCCACACCCTTTTTCCTGTAAGTGTATTCTTACCCTCACCCACGTCAGAGCCTTTCTCTTCTCCCTTTCCCAACTTTTTGAGGTTGACGTGGTGCTACCAGGTTTTTTCTTGTCTTAAATGATCTATCAAAGCAGAGGCATTTGCTTTTTCACTTGCCAAAGCAGGCTTATGTTTATATAATCTATTCCATTCTTACATTATTTTTATAATCTAAAGGGTCTTCCTTATGTCTAAAGTAAATGTTTCTATGTTCAGTGCCCATTTTCTTGTTTTTGTTTCCTGGTATAGGGGATCTTGTCAGTGTTATCTTTAGAAAGTTTATAACTCTGAACACCATTGCCAAAAAGCTTTTATCAAACCCCCTTTTCTGCTTGGCGCCATACTGAGAAAATCTCCAGCCTCCTCAAATCCTTTTAGAAAGTAGGTCAGATCTAAATAATAGATGAATCAAAAGACATGTACAGGAGAGTGATTCCCAGCTCTGTTTTTGTGACATTTCTCAGGATCTGTAGAAGTCTCAAGGGACTTTATAAAGGCTCCAAATTAATTTGGATTTTCTCGATCTCATGTATGCTATATACCACTCCAAGTGAGAGGCAGGGTGAAATATCACATCAAATCAGAATAGGCCACTGGATCTTCATGCAGGCTCTCTGGGGACATGGAAAACTCTTGACCACCAGCTTTTTAGAATTTCTCAGTATTAAGTAATCTAAATACCTTTAATCTTTGTCAGTCTTATTTTTTACACTTTCAGAAGAGAAGGGCCATCATTTGAAAAGAAAAGGAAACATTTAATTTTTAATATTCTTTTCTGCATCTTGTTATTTTTCATGGAAGTACAACCTAAAGACAATTAAATGTCCTGTCACATTTCCTACCGCTTCAGTGACTTGCCTGTACAGCATGACTTACTTGGGACAGCTGTTAACAGCTATGGTATATGGTGGGTGTCCAATAATTAGTTTGCATCCATCTTGAGAAAAGCCATTTACAATACAGGATGCCATCATTATTTGCCAAAGTAAAGTAATACTGTATTACCAAATCCCTACATCCTCTGTGGTATAGTTAATCAAGGACAATCATTTTAAGTTGTTTGAGCAAGTGAATTGCTGGCAGAATGTGTTGGGCCTTAAAGTGTAAGTTCTCTTGAGGGAAGAATACTTAGCTTTGGTTTGGAGACAGGGTCCTCTGTAGTTTTAGCTATCTGGGGAACTTGTCTGTTTTTCCTCACCAGTGACAGTGACAGGCTTAGTGGCAGGTCTGTGGGCCATCTTGCCAGTTGAATGCACTGAGCATTTGATATGTTGGCAGACAGAGCTGATTCTTGGATGCGTGTCTGAACCTCTACAGGTCTGCTTTTGGCAGAATCGAGTGTGACTCTTATCCTTTACCCATTAAGCTATCGTTATGGCTTCCTTATCTTTATTTCTTCTGCAAACGTGCCTTTGAAAGTGTTTGGCTCTTTTTTGGCAGTTTACATGATAATGTACAACAGTGGAAGGTATGTGTTATACTTCAAAATTTTAATGTATTTTTTCAAGGGAGAAACGGGGGACCTAAGTGAAGATTTTGTCATAATAAATTGACACTTGGATACTTTGACACTTTGGACATATTTTGATAATCGATACTGAATTCTTTCCTAAGAGTTTGGTTTACAATCCCCTGTGAAAACATACTTAAATGCCTCTGGTTAGCCCCCAAAAATGTGTGTTCCTCTCTGATGTATTGCATATCGTAAACTTTTTCTCATCACTATAAGTTGTATGGGTGTGTGCATTAGAGGGAAACCAGAATCATTTGTATTTGGACTTTTGTGTTTTGGATGTTCTTTAGCCAAGGTTGGCAGAGGCATATTTAGAGAAAGGTAGGTATGTGTAATTGCCATATATGTAGTTTTTTTGAAGCCCATTCTGATTTACTCTATGTTGGAGCAATCTTTAGCTGCTAATAACATAGCTAAGACTTTGCAGTAGATAAAACTTAATAATTAAGTCCTTTATAACAAGGCTGCTTCTGTGCTTGTCCATTGGGATACCAAAGCTAAATTAAATCTGTTGACTTACATCATGTAAAATATTCCAGGATTATTTGTTATTTATTGATGTTTTTCTGTTTGAAGCATCGGTAGTGTTTTCAAGTTCTGTGATTTAGAAAGACTATGAAAATGGGTTCCAAACATGGGAAAGAAACTATTCACAGAAGGCCGAGAACAAAAACCAACCTCTGCTGCTCATGGTAGTGCATGTAGTCTAGTCACCTGCAGGACCTGTGGCCAGGCTTGGGGTCTGACAGTTTAGGACAGTTTCAGTGTAGTTGGAGGGCTTCCCTGCCAGAGAGGCCCCCATGTGAACAGGGTAGGAAAAAATTCCTGTTCATGCTATTGATTCATTAAAATGAAGCCATTCATTCACTGTGTATATCAATAATGTTTTAACTTACTCTACAATGACAATAGAAAAATCCAATTAAATTTTTATTTTAATTGAAAAGGGAATTTTTAAAGTGATTTGCCGTGAAGTCTTTTATAGAAACGTGATTATCTTAATTCAGGATAAAACAAAAAATTTGCTGTTAAAATAGCTTTTACTAATAGTGGCTTTCTAAATTAATGTATATTGATACTATCTTTATAGAGTTCAAATAATAGCTATTAAAAAGAGATTTTTAGGCTGGCCGAGTGGCTCAGTTGGTTAAAAGCTTACCCAAGAATGCCAGCTCTGAGCAACAGTGGTTCGATGCCCGGCCAGAGCTAAGCTGCCAACAGGTGGCACGATGGCTCAGCTAAAAAAAAAATATATATATATATATATATATATATATTTTTTTTTTTTTTAGTTCCTTGTACTAGCATTTATATTTCCTATATTCTGTCATCCTTTTCTTGTATAATTTTTAGGATACTCAATAATTTATACTTCTTTTATATGTTGTTTTAATCTTCAAGTATAATTGAAGCTCATTAACTTTTTGTTTCTATAAAAATTTTATGTTACTTAAACTAATGAGACAATTGATATGTAGTGGCAAGACTATTGGTCTAAGAATGAGAAGACCTGAGTTGTGGTTCTGTGACTATTTTTCTCTGATATTTATTTATTTATTTTAAGATTTTGGGGAATTGGAGGAGGGGAACAGACAAATTGCTGTCCTTTTGTTCTTCAATCTAGTTGTGGAGGACATCGCTTCACTGGCCCATGTTGGTGTTGTGATCATTGCACTCTTCCCGGCTGAGGCAGATCGGTTGCTGGCCATTAGATGGCAGCTCACAGCAGCCCACTGCAGCAGGGGCTGCAGCCTACACCATCGCCGGCAACTCACGGCAGCCCAGCTCCAGGTCTAGCCGTTGTTCACCATCTTAGAGAGGGCACAGTGTCACTAGCCCATATGGGATCTGAACCGGCAGCCCTGCTGCTCAGAGCTCACGCTCCCAAGCCAACTCTTAACCAACAAGCCACTCGGCTGGCCTGAGAGGAGAGTATTTTCAACAAATAATGTGGGAACATTTGGACAAAAACAACCCTGTATCTAAACCTTTTAATACAAAAATTAACTCAAAATGGATAACCAACTTAAATGTAAAACTATAAACTTCTTAGGAAAAAACATAGGAGAAAATTTTGGAATTAGAGGTCAGCAAAGAGTTTTTGGATTTGACACCAAAAGCATGATCCATAAAAGGAAAAATTGGTAAATTGGACTTTGTCAGTACTAAAAAAACTTTTGCTCTGGAAGGACCCTATTAAAAGAATGAAAAAACAAGCTACGGACAGGGAGAAAATACATACCTTCAAACCATATATCTGACAAAGGACTAGTATCTTGACTATATAAAGAACTCTAAAACTCAACAGTTTAAAAAAAAATCCAGTTAGAAAAGGCAAAAGACATAAACAGACATTTGACTAAGGAGGATATATAGATGATAAAGAAGCACATGAAAAACTGTTCAACATCATTAGCTATTAGGAAAGTGTAAATTCAAACCACAATGAGATGCCACTATACACCCATCAGAATGGATAAAGTTAACAGTGAGAACAACAAATGCTGGCAAGGATGCGAGAAACTGCAATCACTCGTATATTGCTGGTAGGAATATAAAATAGCACAACCACTCTGGGAAACAGTTTAATAGTTCCTTATTAAATCAAACATGCTGTGACTCAGTAACTACTTTTGGGTATTTAAGCCAAAGAAATGAAAACTTAGGTTCACACAAAAGCCTGTATCCGAGCATTTATAGCAGCTTATTCATAATAACCAAAACCTGGAAACACTCCAGATGTCCCTCAGCAGATAAATGGTTAAACAAACTGGTACATGGGTAGCATGAAGTACTACTAGGCAAAAAAAGGGTAATGAACTATTGATACAAGCAGCAACTTGGGTGAATATCGAGAGAATTATGTTGAGTCAGAAAAGCCAATCTCAAAATGTTGCATACTCTTATGATTCTATGTTGAAATGACACCATTGTAGAAATAGGGAACAGATTAGTGTGTTTGAGGCCGGGGCGGGGGGAACCACAGGAGGTGGGTGTAACTCTAACAGGGTACCGGGGGTCCTTAATTTAATGGGTATCATTTTTCTTTCTTGATAATATGTAAAATAGTGGTTCATCTTTTAATTAGTGGCATCTTAGGCTCAGTGACGTGTGGTAATGTGGTAATGTCTAAAATCAACTGTTTTTGCGGTTTTCATCTGAATATTTCACCTATCCTAATTTTATTAATTTTATAAAACATTTTAGGGGAGAGGCATTTTGTTTCTTAAAAGGAACTTAACAGCTTGAGAGTCTGATGATAAATTCTGTGACATTCCATGGTAATAATATATTACATATATGTTGAAACCTCCTTTCCCCTCATCTTTTTTTTTTTTTCTTTGTTTTTCAAGTGTCAATATACAGTATCTGGTTTTATGACAAGAATGACTGTCACCGCATAGCCAAACTCATGGCCCAGTAAGTATTTGTATTCCTCCATAGATTTATTTCATTAATGATATATGAGATGAAAAAAATGATTTTACCTCTTTTTGTTACTGGAGTTTACTATCTCGTGTTTACCCCGTAATTTCATGTTTATTGTCAAAAATTTGGAAAAGGCAGAAAAGCCTAAAGAAACCTAATTATTTATAATCCTACTACCACTCCCAGTGTTTGTTAGCATTTTAGTCTGTTCCAGTCTTTTGCTTTAGGTTACATATTAGGTTTCTTTATATTACATTAGGTTGATGTGTTTCTTACAAAAACAGGATCATCCTGTACATCCTACTTTTCATTCCAACGTCTTTCCAGAGCATTAAATAGTCCTCTGTAGTATTTCTAATGACTGCATTGAATCCAGTTCTGCAGTCAGATTGTAATTTAACCAGAACCTTACTATGAAACACGTGCTTAGTGCCATCAAACTGCTGAGCTCCAGAGGATATCATCTACATGCAGAGCACAACCTGACCACCATATTGCAGTGGATCTGATTTAGGTTCTGTTTAGATTTCCTCTCTAATAAGTGGTCCTGTGTTCAGTAGCCAATAGAGAACTCCTGCACACATCCGTGTTATTTTTGACAAGATTCTAGGTTTATTAGTCCCCAGTCCATTAATGGATTGTGTTCCAGGAGATTTTTTAAAAGTCAGAATTTTGGAATTTAGAAAATAATCTTCATTGAATTAATGTTCCAAAGCGTGGCTCATTGTCCTTTTTTAAGCGAGCCAGCAGAAGCCACCCCTCATGTGGCCTGTCTGCATGGCTGGTACTGCCAGTCTGGATTCTGGGAGCCCACGGCACTGTGGTGCCAGAGGGCCCTGAGGTGCTGCAGCGCTCTGGGCTGCATGCTCCAGTAGGTAGTGTATTCTGGTACATTCCTTTTTCCTCTCCAGCATTTGCCTGCGTTTCCTCAGAAATGTGGACCTCTCTTCCCTCTGTCGATCAAGGTTCCCTTTGTTCTCCCGCAAGGTGTTTATCTATATGTTTGGAAGAAAACTAATTCTTATAAAAATGTAAACAACTAACCCCAAAAACCTCAGTCCCGGGTATGTTTGCATTTTAAAAGAAGCACTCATGGCTGAGGTTTTTACCCAGGCCTGCTAACTGGTCCTGAGTGGATGCATATCAGCCCCCTGCTCTGCAAGCTCCGGCTCCGAGCTTCAAGGACAGGCCCTGCTTATTACTGGGCGCGCCCCTGAGGACATTGGTGCTTATGAACTTGTGTCACTCATATTTGAAAATGCGTTTTGGCTCTTGAGAACCACACTTTCTGTTTAGCACACCTTTTCTCTAAAAACACCGATAAAAATTTCTTTTTTACAAAGCCATTTATTTGATGAGTGCTTTTTTTGTAGTTTGAAAGTGGTGGCAAAGGCAACAAGTATCTAAACTTCGGAATATATTAATATTAATACAGTTGAATGGCACAGGTTTGAGCTGCGCGGGTCCACTTGTACATAGATTTTTTTTCAATGAATACTTCAGTACTATAAAACTGTTTCCTTGTGATTTTAATAACATTTCTTTGCTCTGGTCTTTCAACATACAAAATATGTGTTAATCGACTGTTTATGTTATCGATAAGACTTCCGGTCAATGGTGGGCTATTAGTAATTAAGTTTGGGGAAGTCAAAAGGTATATGCAGATTTTCGACTTCATGGGGGATCAACACCCCTAACCCCCATGCTGTTCCAGGGGCAACCGTATATACACTTTCTCCTGCAGATTGAGAGCTTTAGGGCCCTGAGTGAGTTTTTAGCTTTAACAGCTATTCGCAGGAAACCATTTTGAACTTTTTTTCTCCGCCAGGGCAAATGGCACCCCTAATATGCAAAACTTCAGATAGTAAATGAAGCTGAAGACTAAAGGCCTACCTGAAAATATTGTATAGAACCCAAAAATAGGATGAGGAAGTAGAAATAGGAAGCAGAGTGTGAAAAGAAGAGCTTACAGGGTTCTTTCACTAGAAATGCCCAAAAGAGGGACATTTGCTTAAGCTTTGTTTTTTTTACTTGAAGCAGGGGAGGTATTGAAAGTGATTAGAGAATGCCCTCGCGAAACTGTTGATAGTGAGTTTTCAAGTGTCTGGACTATTTATGGCTGAAGAGAATACCTTATATGTTAACATTAACTTTGTGATAAATGGCATTCTGGACGCCAAAGATAAAAAGACTATTTCATCTTTCTTTGCTCTAACTTTGCCTATATACAGCCTCTATTTGCTGCATATTTCAGAATGTCATGTCTGCTAACCAGAAATAAAGGTAAAATTATTTTTAGCATATTATGTGTTTAAGTAAATGTGCCTGTCAGGGTCCATTCTATCAAATTTCGTTCTTCCCATCCCTATTTTGACAGCTGCAATGTAATAAAAAGTCTCCAAGTAAAAATTTGTTCGTTCCAAAAGATATTTATAAAAACTAAGAAGTTATAAGGGCCGGTCAAGTGGCTCAGTTGGTTAAGAGCTCATTCAAGAGTGCGAGCTCTAAGCAACAGGGTCGCCTGTTCGATTCCCAGCCCGAGCTGAACTGCCGCTGAGCCGCCAATAAGTGGCAGGATGGCTCAGCTAAAAAACAAACAAAAAAACTGAGACATTATGTAGGAGAGCAAGCAAACTTCTAGACTTACTGTATTAAATTTGGAAATTCTCTTTGGTCAGGGGCAAAGTTGAAAATCCACTAAACTTGAAAATTGTTGACTCCTGAAGAGGACATCCAGTCTGCCAGAAACTGTTTAACAGTAAAGCTTGTTTCAGTGTTTGCCTACATAGACTATAAAATTTGGAGAACTCATAGGAGTGAGCTTTATTCCTGATCTTACAGGCAGTCTGAGGGGCATATTTGAAGATTTGAGAGGGTGAGAAGCAAGGGCGTTCCTCACAGAATTTCAACTGGAAGAGGCCTTAGAGTCCAAGCCTCATCCATGTGAGGGCCCCTTCCATGCCATCTGACAACTGCTGCTTCAGCAGTGGTGAGCTTTGTAAGGTGACCTGTACCACGGGTGAACAGTGGTGATTATTAGAAATGTTCTTCTTTTGAACCAAAACCACATGTCCAGTCCAGGTCAGGGGAGAGGTAAATACCAGCATGAGCAAGCCAGGCATGGCACGAGGTAGATAGACACAGACTGTGTACCAGAGTTCTTGATGAAGATGGTTTGAGGCTGATGTGGCCTATAACTGAGTATTAAATAATAATGTCATTTTAAATAGTCCTTTTTTTGAATATTAAAGGAGTGCCTGTTAATTATGGAAAATAAAGAAAAGTATAAAAAAGTGAAATTGCTTGTAATCCACCATCAAGAAATAACCAACATATATCTCTCCAGCCTTTTTATCCTTTGCAACAGGCCTCACAGTTACGACAATACAGCACTTCTTTTCCAAGAGGTGGTTACCAGTATGAATATAAAAGAAACAGTATTTATTCTCATTGTTCCCGTTCTCATATCCCATGTCAGTCTTCTTTCAGTCTGTCATAAAGTCCATGGTTCTACTTTTGTTTTAGAAATAATCCTGTTAAGAGCTGTAAGACTCTAGATAAAGAACTGTCATCATTACCTTAAAGCAGCATTTTCCAAACAGTAATCCTGCCTCAGGAAAAGATTCTGTAGCCAAATAAATTTGGGAAAATATATAAGCCCACCCTTCTTGGAAATTGATAATAAATTTTAGCATGTTAAAAACTCAGAATGATTCTGCTGTTAAAAAAAAAAATTGTTCAATATTGTTTAACCCGATATTTTCAAAAAAGAGCCATCCCAAAACACTCATGAGAATTCCTGGGAAAACACTCATGAGGATTCCTGGGCAGGCTGTTTTAAAGCAGTGAACTGGCACTGGGTGGCCTAGTCTTTTTTTTTTTTTACTACTAAAAGGGGCTATAGAGTTT